AAAAGCATCTGGTTGGTCAGAATGCGGTACTATAGAGACCTTTGAATTGATCCAACATGGCTCTTCTTACATTAAGAGAATTTAGGCAGCACAATACTTGCTCACTCACTTGGGCACTGGGTTCCACAACTCCACTGGCAAATATGGAATTCTGAAATTTATTTATTTCATAATTATTTAGTATTTTTATGCATTTTTTCCTTTCAAGGGACTCAAGGCAGCTTACCTAATTCTCCTCCTCTCAATCTTATCCTCACAACAACTCTGTGAGGTAGGTTGGGCTGAGAGTCAGTGACTGGCCCAAAGTCACCCAGCGAGCTCCTGGGCTGTGTGGGGACTAGAACCCAGATCACTTGAGTCCCACTACAGCACACTGGCTCTCAGTCATATGGTAATATTTAAGTGATGAAATATACTGCCGTGACAAACTAGGTCCCTGCCATCTAACTAGCAAGCTCTGCTCAACAGATTGTGGAATAACATGCATTTTAAATTACTATTGACCAAAATCTCTCCTGAAAGCGATTCAGATTTGATTGCTTTCTACTACAAAACCTCCTTGCCCTTATAAACAATGACAGATACTTTTTTTCTCAGTCAAACTTTGTAGAGGGTGCTGGCCTAATAACAGAAGTGTTATGGGGAGGGGAATATTCCCCAATCCTGCCCTAGTGCTTAGAGAAAAGGGAGGCTCTTGGTATTGGGATAACAAACTGTGATGCAGAGACATGAAATTTTAAAGATTTTTAGGCACAATCCATTCTGGATACTTACAACACGCTGCACTCAGAGGATTATGGACATCTTAGTTTGCGGGGTGGGGAGACATGTAGAGGATTGCTTCCTTCACCCTTCAAACACTTACAAAGGCAGTTTTGGCAACTAAGTGTCCCATGTCTGAATTCTAGAAGATGAAACATTGGCACTGCCAAGATATTCTGGGTCCACCTCCTCCTTTCCCTATCTCCCAGAATGCTCCCTAGAGTCCATCTGTGATGTCACTCTTGTGACCTCATAAGCACAGCAATTGCAACCGTTTCTAAGCCAGATGCAAGGGCTTATAGGCAAGGGTGAGCCTTCCAAGTCCAGCATCTCAGCTCAGATTGCTGGAATGGGAACTGGGCCTCCAAAAGCTTTTTCTAGATTCTATCTAGTAGCCATGGAATTGTGCTGCTCATTGCTAAAATTGGGCACATATTTTCCCCATTACAGAGAAAAAATGAAAACACTACAAAACTAAAAAGGAATTACACACTTTTATATTGATATTATAATTGAGCTTCCAGGATTCAATAAGTTTCTGTGCACTTGAAAAAAGCAGTTCTTTCTCTTTCTTCTTCAAGTTTGACCAACTAGCTAACTTTAGACATTTGTGAAATGGGCCACACATTCATGACCTTATCCCTTTCTTGCTTCTTGCCAGTTTTTAGCAACCACAATTTCAGCAGCAGTCATTAATTGGGAAATCCATAGATAAGTTTATTGCTTCAGTTAGTAACCATAATAATATGCTGTCTCTAGTATATCCTGAAGAGAAGGCCACAGAGAGCTCACAAAACCAGCAACAGCGTTACTAAATGCAGCTTACTGAGTCAGGCCATGCTGCAGAGTGCTGCAGGCAAGGCAGAGCAGAAAACGAAAGCCCAGTAGCTGACCACAGCGGTGGATTCTTCATGCCGTGGCAGGCCAGGAACACCGAGACACTGCCTGGTCTCCTCTTCATCTCGTTTGATATTTTACTCCATTCCCAAATTACTATGGAAGCTCAAATTCACTGGAAGGGAAACTGCTGGCAGAATGAATCTCCCCTTGCCCTTTGGCCTCTTGTGAACCCATACTTCTGGCGGGTTGCAAGGCTGTCCCAAACTGATCTGGGAAGTACAGCGGGAGGAAAGGAGGCTGTAGTGGAAAGGAAAAAGCCCAGGAAGTCCCATGGCATGAGCAGACTTCTGATCATATAACCAGGGCCTTTTTTGTCATAGAATGCACGGGAACGGCGTTCCGGCACCGTTTTTTCAATGGATTTTACGAATTGATTTTGGTGTAGCAGATCAGCAGCAAACATCATTAACATAGTGCCTGCAGGCTGCTTTTGTGTCTGCTATCTGCTATCTGATAGTGAGAGAGAGCTGCTTGGGACGCTGCTCGGCTTGGGACTGGTGTGTGTGCTTACTGCTGGCGGAAACATGAGTTCTGGCACCTTTTTTCTTACAAAAAAAGCACTGCATATAACGGATCCAAGTTTGAGCATCCCTACTCATATACATATACATCCCTACTCATATACATATACATATACATATAGATAAGTATATACATAAAAATACAGACACAGGTGCAGATTTGAAGTGTACCCATATTGTTTTATTTTTGTAAACTGCCATGAGTTTGCAGATTAAAGGCAGCATATAAGTGTCTAAAAATAAATGTTCTGCAGAGAGTAAATTTCCAAGTGTTGTATGTAACAGAACTATGTATTTTATCTAATTTACAAGGAACTGGGCAACAGTTATAAATTATTTTATAATGATTCTCTTTCCTGTTTTAGAAATTAAATTTGCTGAGCATTTTGTGGAGTTTCTAAAACTCCAGTTATGCTTTCTGAGTTCTGTCAAGCCCTGCCCTGCCCTTCCTTTTTTTTCTTTTTTGAACTAGATTAGTAATTAATGGAAAAATGGATACAATATGGATAACACAGCAAGAATTTGCCGATTATTTACTAGTTTTTCCAAGTCAGTTAAAGCTGGTCTGAATGTTCTCTTTTGTTACCCTATTGGGAGCTTTTTCCACTGAATTTTCTTGACCATTCTAAATGTTGAATTAGCAAAAGCAAACCATTAACAGCAGTGCTTTTTTTGTAAAAAAAAAAAAGTGCTGGAACTCAGGAACTCACGTAGCTGGCAGTAAGTGCGCAACCACACACCCACCCACACACACACACACACACTCCTCTGCGGAGCAGCCAGAGCAGAGCCCTCACTATCTCACTATCAGATAGCAGATAGCAGATAAAATAGCAGCCTGCAGGCACTATGTTAATGATGTTTGCTGCTGATCTGCTATGATTCAAAATCACTTCTTAAAATCCATTGGAAAAAAAGGTGCCGGAACGCCGTTCCAGTGGGTTCGATGACAAAAAAAGCCCTGATTAACAGTATATCTGTTCAACTTCTATCAAACTTGGGATTTTTTGTATTATTGGCTGGAGAAACAGAACTTGGCTTAGATTTAAAGATGTCTTTAAGTTATTATAAATGGATTTGAATATGACTATAGAATGTTAAAAGATATGTAGTAGGGAGCTGACCCAGTACGTCCGATGTATTTGATGATTAATGTTTGTAGTATTAGTTTAAAATCTTAATAAAATCTTTAAAAAAACCCAGTATATCTGTTCAGAAGTAGCAAGCATATTTACTCAGAAGTAAATATTGATGTGGCCAATGATCATCCTACTAGCAGAATAAGTAGCAGAGTAAGTCTGCATGTCTTCTCAGAAGTATGCCTCACTGGAATCAAAGAGGCTCACTTCCAGGCAAGTACAGATTTGCACTGTGAATGTGCTTAGAATTCCAGCCTCTCAGTCCAATCCAATTCATGCCTACTCGGAAAGAGACCTATGGGGTCCATGGGACTCATTCCCAGAGAAATATGCATTGGATTGAAGTCTGAGAATTCCCTGTTCTCTTCCTCAGGAAAATCTAGATAAAAATTTGAATTGTTGATTTCAAATATATGTGCAGGCTTAAAACATTCCAAAACCCATCCTACATTCCTGATTGTACACAGATAAGGAGAGACTATAAACTCTATTTTTCCAAATAAGACCTTGGTATATATTATATCATAGAGATTGTTCATCTGAAGTGATATATTGTTTAACTTTAGACTGTTTTACTTTTATGGTTTCGGCAAGGGGCGGCATAGAAATGTTATTATAATAATAATAATAATAATAATAATAATAATAATAATAATAATGGTCTTATAAAATAAACCTAGAACTGGGCAGGCCGGACACAACAAAAAAGGCTTATGGGCAGTACACGTGAAAGATTCAGGCCACAGTACCAAGGCAAAGCCGCCAGACCTAATCAGGTGCGTGCGGGTTGCCTGCTGCCGAAAGCTGTGGCTTCCTTCAGAGCAGTTTGGGTCATTTGCTTGCAATGCCGCGGGCGAAATACCATGTTGCCTGATTGAAAGAGAGCTTGTCTCCAAAGGGGGACAGCAAATTGTGAAACGTAGCTTGTAGTGCTGCAGTGAGTGGGAGGGAAAATCACCCCAAATCCAGTAGCGGGGTCTTGCAGGGACCCCAGCAGGATCTCTATGTGACCTGTGTGTAGCTTGATGTCCCCGTGGGACAGCAAAGAAGCAGTGGTCATGATTTATGTAGGCTTAAGATAAATAATACACAAAATAATATTATCCCAAAAGTAGGCAACAAAAAGTACTGTTTCCAGATTATGGAAATTAAATTTGCTGAGGACTTTACTGCCAGTGTCTTTTCAGGCCAGTTCCATAATCTAGTATTAGATTTCAGCCTCTCTAGTTATTCTCATACGTATTGTAAGAAGTATTGTAACAATAATTTTCCAATCTTTTATTGTACATTAACTGTTAATCCCCAAAGTGTCACTCCCCTGTGAATTGCTCCCCAGTGTTTTGTGGGGAGGAGTTTTAAAGCCCAAGGGGATGCAATAATGGGGTGTTCAGATTCAATTTTTAGAAATGAATTTTTAACACTTCTGTTCTGACTACAGAGCAAGATGCAAGTCATTGCAATTTTTGTCATCTCCAACATCTTCTTCATTATTGTTATCAAATGATTGTCTAGCAAAATGGGCACACCCCCCAAAAAACAAACCAGATAGAAGTATCAAAACACAATGCAAAATACAGTAAGAAAATGCCAAAATCAACAAATGCAATGTATAACCAACTCTAAAATCTTTCCCAAGCCACATTTTTAAAACATCATAAGGAGAGAAAGTAACACTGACCTGAAATCTCCGCATGTCTCGAGGGTTTCCTGCATTTTTTAGGCAGTTCTGGTTACATTTAAGGAAAAATTTCAAGAAGAATCTGTTGGGAAAGAGATACTGTGTTTAGTATATCTTGATCTTAATGCATCCAATATTTCTTTTGTTTATCCAGCAAATGATATTTTTTAAAATGATTTAAACTAGACAGTGCTATATAAATGATGACAATAGTAATGTCCTAACTCCAGTAGAAGCCAAGATAAGCAAGTGAATCCTTAAAGGGCTGTAATGACAGGCCTGGCAGACAGTAACTGCATCCGAGTTTGCCAACCAGGAGGCCACTACTGAAAAGGCCCCGACCCTTGGTTGTTCTTATACCTGGATACAGCATGAGAGGCTAGTCACAGAGTGCTGGGTGGGTTCATTTGGTTGGAGGCAATGCTTCAAATAATCTGGACCAAACTATAGAAGCCTTTGAAAACTAATACCAACACACATAACACGGTGCTGATGAAAGCCATGTTTATTTGTGTTCTGAATAGGCTGTTAAAAACTTCTGTCCTAAAACAAGCCTAGAAGGGAAGCAAAGATACTGTTTCCATGAGGTCCACTGCCTGGCAACCATAGCTAAAGAATTCCAGAACTGTCAATTCCAAGTTGTCCATCCTGCTACATATAATAACATTGTATGTAACAACTCTGACACATAATGTCTCTGACTCCCATGTCTTGTAATGCACAGGATTACTAAATGTGTTTATGAATTATCAGTACCGGATGACGTTCTATGTGGGATAGTGCTACAGTATCAAGCTATGTTTTAATACACACATGCGCGCGCGCACACACACACACACACAATTTTTTCCCAAAAACCCAAGGTGGCTTACATGGGCATCTTCTCCCCCCCTCCTTTATATTCTCATGTCAACGCCCTCTACGTGGGCTGCCTTAAGGCTCCTCTAGAAGCTGTAGTTAGTGTAGAACGCAGCAGGTTTTTGCACTGTGTACCTTCCTTGTTGAACGAACTGCATCAGCCTACCAGTTTCCGGCTGGCCAAGTTTAAGGTTTTAGTACTTATTTATAAATTATTCCTTTATAAAGCCCTGAAAACTTGCAACCAGGAAACCTGAGACAGCCCCTTCTTCCTTATCAACCTGCACTGAGGTCACTGGAAGCCATTCTCCTGGTACTTCCACACGGACCCCCAGCCCAAGTAGAGCCCTTCAGCAGAAGAGCCTTCAGGGTGAGTGCCCCATTTCTATGGAATTCCCTGCAGGCACCAGCACCCTGCTGTCTCAGCACCTACTGAAGATACCCTTGTTCCAGGAAGGCTTTCCTTGTTGACCAGCCATGGTCTTAATGTCATTTTGTTTTTAATTTCCAGAAATACTGGAAATAAAAATAGATGAATGGATACACAGAAAAGCTTGTGAACCTGGAAATCAGTAACTGGCCCAAAGCCAGGCTATAAGCTTCATGGATGAGTGGGGAATGGAACCTGATCTCCCGAGTTCTAGAGTCTGGTCCCTATGCCATGCAAGGTGAGTTTGAAGCGCTACTACTTTACTCTGATGACACCCTGTACTTTGGTTGCAGTCCACTCCTGCCATGTTGATGCATATTCACAAATGTTAAAATAACCCCTTATAAAAAATTGTACTGTCCTTAAACTACCTTTTAAAAGGAGCGTGAAGACAGACATGGTGGTGGCTGGCAATAACACCAGCAGATGTTAGGCTTCAACTATTTAACTCTAAATCCTAAACCCCCGGAAAGGCCAGAAAGCCAGTACAAATAAATAGAAATATTAATTTATGCCCTAATACGAAATTATGTAAACTAGTATTTTGCCAACTTGATAGAAGTAGTTTGCTCCAATCAAAACAAATGTGTATGGAATTACAGGAGATGTAGGTACATAAATTCTTGCAAAAACTGAAACGCCTCCAATCAGTGATGCGTAGGGAGGAATTTCACTGAGGTCAGCTTCACCAGCACCATTTTCTCTTTTCAATATTGTTGGTAAGAAGTTCTGTCCAACATTAGCAGGCTTCTGCTCATACAAGAGGGCTTGCCCTTCTTTACTCTGCCCTCCCCTTGGTCCCTCCAAATAAGTTTCAGAGGGTCTCCAGAGCAGATTTTGGAAGCTGCAAGGGAAAGGGGATTTGTTTTGCCAGAAGTCTCTATTCCACTGCCAAAGGGTCATAGCCAGATACAGCCCAAGGTTTTTAAGGAAGGAAGCAAGCAATCAAGGAAAATAGCTCATTTAAAAAAAAAATGGATCCAATGTTGTAGGCTGGACTTAAAGATGGAGCCTAGATCTTTAAAAAGTGCAATAGAACTTAGGTATTAGGTAATTAAAACAAATCAGGATTTTACAGATGTAAATAATTGAAACAGATATTAAATCCATTCTGGGGGAAAAACAGCACTGAATTTAGTGAGGATATACTTAATCTCTCAAAGAGACATATAACAAGCTCAGTCAAACAAAAGCATAACAATGTCAGCCATAGGTCCTCACATGTGTTTTCTTTTAAGAAATGTGCCAGCAAGTGAGATTTTCTTTTAGTAAGAACTCCACATTATTAAAGGGTGCAGTCAATTAGTTGTGTTGCTTTTAACTGATTAATTAACCAACTCACTGCTAAAAGAAATATTACAGTACCTCAGTGTAGTTTGCATTCTTAGGGTCATTACTGAATATGGATGCACAGATCAGTACAATCTGAGCTCCTCAAAGTGCTCTGAATTCCAGCTCAGAGGTTCTTCCAGTTCAAATCAGATCGATTTTTTTTTCTTTTTGCATGAATATGTACACAAAGTTTTCATGCATATTTTTCAAATGTATGCATCAATTGTGTGCATTTTTAAATGTACACATTTTTATCCCATTGATAAAGCACATTTGTACTTTTGAAAAGTATGCATGTTAATATGCATTTCTCAATAAACACATTTTCCTCCCATTATTAAGCATGTTGGGCTACATTTATTTTTTAAATGTACAGTTCTTCATGTACATTTTCCAAATGAATTTCTTTGTTCCACAGATTTCACTGCAAGCATGGAAATGTGTGACTGCAAATTGTATTTGGGACTGAATTCATTTCCAGGAAGAACTGAGTAAGTATTGCTCAAAAATAAAATGAAATGAGGGTCTCAAACATCCTTATTACTGAACAGCAGAAATATAATGAATTATTTGAAAACGATCCTGCACACAGAGAACAAAACAGACTGTGAGCTACAACCACAAACTTTCATGTGCAATCAAAAACAGGAATGAATTAAATTTGTTTTTAAAAGCTTAGGTGGTAATTAACAAGTATTTAAGCAAATTAACTGTGCCTATCAAAAGAAAAGAAAAAGACCCTCAGATTTAACTTTGTTCATGAAAGTTGCAAAATGCTTAAATGCAAAATATTTCTACATTGCTGACTGTGCAAGATCAGGGAAGTAGTTCCATGACCCTGACACACTTCTTCAAGAAGAGAGGATGTATTTTACAAGTCAAAGAGATAAAACCTGCAGAAAATGTTTCCCTTGGTGTTTTGCATCAATGGACCATAAAAACTAGAGCACAAGGAACAGTTGGCCATAGATTCTAGACTTCTTCCTTAATGTCAAAACTTACCAAACTTTTTTTTTTCCTTTTAGAATAGCCCATGGGCCAGTCTTGATTAAAGCTGGACCATATAAATTAAATCCCAGCATAAAAAGGGAAAGGTGTTATATATTTGAAATAGCTGTTTCAAATAGCTGTTTTCAAATAAAGCTGCATACAGGCCAATTTATATTGGATATCAGGAATATCTTGGACATCAGTAATTACTTGTACACAAGAAATAAATGCCACTGAAATAAACAGAAACCATGTATTGATCTCCCACATAGTCCCCAAACTATAGAGGGATTCTGAAAATATTGCTGGTTGATTCATTTCGTATCTCAATATTAAAGAGGCAACAGGAACATTAGTTACTAACATAAACCTTTATAAATATAGGCTAATATGCCAACTAATTCTCTCCATCTTGTGGAGAAGGAGAGAAAGGGTGGTTCACTGAAAAAATATTATTATAATAATTTATTATAATAAAACTATTATTATTTTGATCCAATTTTCTTCCACTATCTCCATCTCCTCCCTTTCCTGCACATAAAACATTAGCAAACTCATCTGTAACATACCTACTATGATTCAATTCCAAGTTTCTGCCCTGGAAATAAGGTCAAACCATTGTTCAGGTAGCCACCTTAATCCATCTTACATTACTAATTAGCAAAAGCCAAGCAATTGAACTTTAGCTTGTTAACTGCCCAGAGAGCCTTGGCTATTGCACAACATAAAACAACATAAATAAATAGTCTCAACTAACGTTCTTCTGCAGATTTCAACAGGACAGCCACAATCCATTTAGTTAGGTGGGGTAGTGTTTTTAATTTCAATGAAAAGCACATTTAAAAAACAGAAGGGCGGCTGGCACTCATGCCATCTGATTCCTCTAACCCCTGTGACCTCCTTCCCATGATGGAGAGCTCCCATTCAAGCAGACGCACTCCCACAGGGCCTGCACTGAGAATGGAGAGGTCTCCTATGGCGCCTCCTTAGTCCACAGAGGTCTGTATGCAGCCACACATCATGCCAAGCCTCATCATCCCTGGCTGCAGATGCCAGCCCACACAGCTGAGAAGAGAGTCCAGGGCTTTTCCCTGTGGAGAGAGGACCCCTGTGCTGCCTCTCCTCCCCTCCTACTGTCCCAGGGCCGGGCTGTTTTCATCTCAGAGGAGGGGGTAACAGGAAAGAGCGAGTGGCTACAAGACTGGACTTTCAAGTTTCTTCAGATGGCCAAGGCTTATGAGTTTTTAAAAGGTTTTATTCATTTTCAGGATGAATGAGAGGAGTGAGAAACATTCTTGATTTTTCAGTTCAGCCTTATTGTGAAGCATCTTAATATTTATAAGTGACTATATTAACATATGCATAAAAGCAATGCCCCTTTTTCTTGGAGAGATTGAAACCATATATATTGTTATACACTCACCCTCCTGCCCACCAAAAAAAGGCAAAAGAAAAAAAGAAAAGAAAGGAAA